CTGAACCTTAGTCAAGTCATGGAACATAGCAAATGAATCTCCAGGAATATCTGCCACCATGAATGCAGTCCACTTGTGCATGTTCTCCTCGTGCAGTGTAACAATTGAGAAATGCTTGCAGCCAAAAAGAGCCTGGAGCAACACTATAGAATATTCCCAGAGCTATGCTGATCTCATCAATGCGAGTATTGTCATGAAACACCTGATTGGATGATGTGCCTCCACCCAAAAAGAAACAGCACCAGGAAACCAATCAAAAGTAACCAACCTGCTCATGGTTGGCATATTGAATAGTTACACTTCAACAGCTGATGGACAATATATAGACCAGGAATTCTCCGAGGAAATGAGTGCAATTATTCAGAAGGGCTATTTCAAATGTCTGACTGGCTGAGCAGCTAGTGCCTGGTGCTCCCAGGATGTAAATAATAAATAATGACAACTAACACCTTTGTGAGAATTGCAGACCGCTGACAGACACTCTGGAAACAAACAAACAAAAAAAGAGCAGCTGAAACGTGTCCACTGTTAACTATTCAACTACTTTTAGTTGCACACCCAACGGGGAGGCAAGGCACCAAGGCACTGACTAATTTCCAGAGAGACCTGTATCAGGCACAACGAATGGTTTCTGAGGACCTGGTTGTAGGACTTGGAATGGGCCCTAGAAACTACTCAGTTCTATGCTACTCCTTCTGCGAGAAAAGACTCGGTCGTCTCCCATCCGGTGCTCCCTCTTCCCCCTGCTGTTGCCTCCCAGCTACTTCCTGAAAGCAGGTACTGGTGTTAAGAGAGCAGCAGGGATGGGAAAGAACCAGGGAGCAACCTAGAGAGCAGGTAAGCGCAGGGGACTGGGAGCACAAAGCCAATGACGCAAGGCTGGAAGTGGTCCAGAACTAGCTTGGGGAAAACAGCAGAGAGACAGTGGAGCCTGTTTCCTTTGGGAGAGAACAGAAGTCAGGAGAATACAACTCCTTCATAGGCAGAGGGCAAAAGCATATCAAACAATGAATATCTGGGAGATACCAAGTACCCTCAGTTCTCACTGACTTCACTAGTAGCAGATGCTGAGCATCTCAGGATCAGACCCATGCTAAAAACTCAGAGCCCCAGAGAAAATGCTGAAAAATGAGCAGTTTCCATTGCAGTTAATCACATAGAGAAAGATGTCACATAAATGACAAACATTTCCACCCAGTAGCTGCACATACCCAGGAAAGGACATCCCAGCTAAACTGCTTGATTCTTTACACTGTGCATGTAAATTGAGACCCAGCTACAGACATAAATGCCTGTAGCACACATGACACTGGCTTATATCTTCCTTCCTTCCTGCTGCTGTTGCCTTCCTCACCCCCCCACCTTTTAAACTTCACAAGCCTAAGCTTGGAGCATGCACAACAGCAGCCAAGAGCAACCGCAGTTCCAAGCTCCTTAACATCTGGATTGAGACAAACCCAGTCATTAATCCAAAGCTGTCTTGGTATTAAAATCCACTCCCACTTGCTCCTTTCCTAGAAAAATGTGCTGTATGTATCAGGCAAACAAAACTACCAATAAAGGCTGTGGAGTGTTTGGGTCAGTTTTTTCCCCCTTCTTGGTTACACAGCGGTAAGTCTGGAGTTAATGGCATCAACTGTGATCAGGAACATAATCTGGCCACTTGGTTTCAGCAACACCCAATGCTATGTTAAGATGAGGCCACTTTTATACTGGGAACATGGATCCTGTGTTAAACTCGTTTTGGTTCATGTTCTATTAAAACACTTTGTAGCACCCAGTGGAAAGTCACATTTTAAAGGTGGTTAATCCTGAGGTTGGGACCACCGAGAAAAAATATGAAACCAGACATGTAGCCATGCCCACGTGACAAGTTTTTAGCCTTCTCGACCAAGGTCACAATAGAATTTGTCATTGTCAGTGACCAGGTTTCCTCACATGATACATTTCCCTAGCGCAGTCAAGGTCCCAAATGGGTTACCAAGTATCTTCTCCATAAAATCAGAAGACTGTGACCGGTGATTCTCAACTGGGGTGAAGTGGGATCCCTTCGAGGGTGTTGCAAGGTGCCCCACAATGTGCACACGATCCACAAGATAAACCCAGAGATTTCAAATAGAAATCCATAGTGTTAAAACATTCTGACCTGTTGTGGGTTTTCTGAGGTCTTTCCAACAGAAGAATTACTTTATTGTTTTTCCGTAGCCTAAAAGTGAGTGAAAACTAAGAGCTGGAATTTTCTGAGGGGTGCTTTAAGTCTAATGAGGGGTGCTTCAACTCTAAAAAGGTCAAGAACCACTGATCTTGATGCTGTACCTCAACCAGCAAAGTCTAATACCTGTCACATACTTCAAGAATGAAATGATTGAAATGCATCCTGAACAACACTGCATCTGTGTTAACCCAGAGAAGAAACAACCAAAGGTAGGGTCATATGAAGTAAGTTCATGAGAAGCATAATAATTTACCAACATATATACGTGGAGTTTAGAAGCAGCTGTGATGTATGAACGGTCACTGAGGTGCTCTGCAGTTGGTGTCTGTACATGGTACTAAAATCTGATTTGGAATCATGTAGGAAATCCTGAAACAATGAGGGGAAAAATCCATTAGGGTCTAACTGAAAAGTTTCACTAGTCCTGAAACACTGTTTCATTTCCACTCCAAGTGTCTGGATTTAAAAAAAAAAAAAAAAAAAAAAAAAAAGCCAAAGGAAATTTCAAAATGAAATGTTTCAAATGTAAATGTCAAACTGTTTCACTTAGAAAATGTCAAAACAAAAATATTTAGTTTTTTTGGATTTTCTTTTGCCACGAACAACTTGGCAAAACCAAAAAATGAACTGACGCTTCCTACCGGTGTTGAGAAAACTGCACTTTTTTCACCCGGGGTGGGGGGGGGGAAGCACATAAAAACGTGGTGAAAACTTAAAACAGCAGCGAGTCATAAACAGACACGGGTTGTTCTAGAAGAAGTGTGTGGGTCTCTACAAGAGAGTGTCCTGAACACAGAAAAAGAAAGGAAGAGAAGGAAAAAGAAGGCACGCTAAAAACCACTACGGTTTCCTTGGCTTGGCAGGACAATTTTATTAACTGTCCAAATTGCAGAGCCTAGATTTGGGACCTTGTAAAAATTTAATTAGCCTTCCTTCTTACTAACAAAGCAAGAAAGGAGCCAGGAGATTAAGATACAGTAACTTCCATTGTGAGCCATTTTTGCAATGTGTATTAGTGTGTATTACTGTTTATTGTGTAAATGAGTGCAAATTAGTGCAAATTCTCATTACTCTCAGAAAGACAACATTATTCTTAATCTCAGGGATGCAGTTTTTTGATTTACCTCTCAGACTAATGCAATTCAAGGATACATTGATGCACAGCAGTGGGATTTCATCACCAGCTTTTCTTTAAGCTTTTGCTTACCTGTCATTTGTCCCACGCTGTGCAGCACTTGCCCATTAACCAATGGGCCGGGCCTGCCGGGTCCAGGAGAGCAGAAAACAAGGAGTGACATTCAGAGGTCAAGAGACAGTGGAAATTGAATACACAAGCACTTATGAGAAGTTTTTCTTCTGTAGTTTTGATTCAATTCACCATGTATGTCAATACAGACCACTTGATGGTTCTGATCACTTGGATCAAGATACAAGGCTGGTCCGTTTTCAATTCTAGTCCTCATTTCAACCTCTGGGTATTAGACAGATTGGGATAGGATGGCAACATCTTAGTCTAGGGCTAGGGAAACAGAAAAGGTTCGTCCATCATTTTGTAGTTGCTCCACACACTAAATCAAAGCATATTTGCTCCACACAGCAGAGGAGGAAGAGGGAGTGTGTGTTTTTAAAGTAATTGCACCCTTTCCCTGGAGTTAACAGTGTGTCACTTCAAAAATCAAGGCCTGAAGAGAACTTGTCAAAGCCCAGGTCCACGCACCAAGGACAAGATATTTCAAATGTACAAACCAACCAGAAAAATAAATGTTTTTACAACAGTGGGGAAAAAACCCACCCAACCAGCAGCTTTCTACTACACAGAGGCCCAAGAAAAGGCCACAACAGTCTGTACAGGTTGCTTTAGTGCATTTTGAACATGGGTTTATTTATGTTAAGACTAACCAAAGTAGATTAGAGAGAGAGAGCGAGTGCGCATGCACACGCACAAGCTTTTGTGGGTTGAAGCTCATCTGTCAAAGTGATACATATCTACTTTGGTTAGTTTATAACATGCAAAACTACGTTGCCTTCTACTTGATTTCAGAATAACATGGTTAACTCAGTCCCTCTATTCATATTGCTCAGCAGTGAAGGAGCATTCCTAGTTCCCTTTTACTGCCAGGTTGAAGAGGGCACCTCCCAAAGATCCCAGTGCCACCTTTAACTACGGAGGATAAAGCACTCAGGGATGGAGGATCAGACTCTACCTCGTGCGCCTTGCAGCCTACTTTCTCCAGCTCATACGTGATGCAGATGGCAACAGGGAACCATATCAAATCCGCAGCCTGAGGGAGGCAGTGCTTGAGGGGAAAAAAAAATTGGGAATCCTTGAAAACAGGAGGGAGGGATAATAGGGCTGGGAACTTGCATGCCGCTGGGTGCATTGCTAGGAAGTAAGGCCTTCCAAGACCAAACCTTGAAGCACAGGGTACCAGGGTTTCTGAGCTTTTGCTATGCAGCAAAACCACAGACTCAAGTTTGATACCACAGAATTTCAATATGTATAAGTCCATATATGAGAACACCACCTTCCAACCCACAAGGCTTCACTGGGGGCACAACTGAAATATGTCCTTTGCCACTCAGGTGGTGACACTGGCATGCACACAGTAAGCCACTTTACAGTCTGACTTCAGGAGAATGACATCCAGGCAGCCTGGGGGGACTGCTGGGAGGGACTAGAAAGTCCTTTTCATGTCCCAGGATAGAAGGGAGGTGGTGCTTTCCCCTACCTTGGGGGTCTTTAAGAGAAGGCTGGATAGGCATCTGGCTGGGGTCATCTGACCCCCAGCCCTCTTTCCTGCCTAGGCAGAAGGTTGGACTCGATGATCTGTTGAGGTCCCTTCCAACCCAACATCTATGAATCTAAACTGCTGGGAAGGGACATCTGGGATTTAACCCTTTGGGCTCACTTGGACTGAGCTCAGTTCCCTGGCCTATTTTCACCCTTGCTTCCCTCCCAGCCTATGGTGAGAAGCAGAAGAACCACCCCCCCGAGGGCAGGGAGCTGCTTCCTCTGCTGGCACCTACCTCACACTGCTCTCCTCACTCCTGGCACATTGCTGACTTTGTGCCAGGGCTCCTCTGCCTGGCTTGCTGCTGCTCCTGCCTGCTGCTTCCTGGTCCCAGGGGAGCAGGCAGGGCCCCGCAGGTGTGGGACGCTCAAAGAGCCCAGCAGGTGGGGTGGGGCAGGGTGGCAATGCCAGGCAAAGGACTCATTTCCGCACAATTAATGCCAGGCAAGGTTCTGTGGTGTAGGCTGGATAGGGGTTCCCTACTGGCAGTGGAGACTGAGTGCAACAGCTTGAGCTTGCATTATATCCAAATGTGTCCCTTGCACCATCACTGTGCACAAAACAGCCATAGTACTCAAGCAGCACAGGCCTTATGCACTGTCCGTGCTGCTAAAGCAGGGAAGTGCTGCCTTAGAAGCTACACTGGAAGAATTGGTTACTTACTCAGATCTGCTGCACCAGGCTCAGGCAGCCATATGGGGAGACTGCACTCACAACATTGGCAGTCAGCAGTAGGTCAATTCATTTTAAGTGTGGCCACTGTGGCATCAGAAGTGATACAACTACTTACCTACATTCCTCTCAAATATATTTGCACGCTGTAGCTCTGCTGTCTGAAGCCAGTCAGCAGCGTGAGGGGCTCTGCAGGTCAGCCAAGATTCCTTGCTCTTCTATGAGCTTACCCAGTGATCGGGGTTCCTCCAGCAGCAGCTCTGGCCAAGGCTACTGAGTTGGGACCCGAGGCACTTCCTCCTGTGCCTGCTCCAATGAGAGTCCTCTACTGACAGTCCTAAACTGGTGGCCAAGGTGGGTCTGCAGCATGGCAGAGGACATCAGTGACGATGGGGTACACCTATGCTTTGTCCACTGAACTCCTGTGCCAAGATCTCCCATGGCCTTCTGTGTCCAGTTGCTGTCTCTTACCCTCCCCTGCCAATTCTCCCTTCTCTTTGATGGCCATGGTGTGCTCTGCAGTGCTAAGGGGGCCAAGAGAGGTAGAGTAAAGCTTTGTGAGCGTGGGAGGGAGTGGGGCTGGGGAAGAGCAGGAGGAAGCAGTGTGTGGGCCTGAGGAGAGGAAAGAGAGCTGTGTTAGGGAAACTGGCAGGATGCAAAAGAGGGTGGAGAGCTGGGACAGATTCAAGCCCTGAGCATCAGTGACTGCATTTTAGGGCTGCTGTCAGTACACAAGAGAGCCAGGAGTCAGTGCTACTGGGAGCCTTTCAGGTACAAGAACTTGGCGCACTTGAGCTTCCCACCCTAAATTCATGCCCAGGTCAGAAGCCATGCCGTGTACAAGTCTCCTGTCCCAGGATGCACACCCAGCTCAGGCCTCATCATCACCCTTACCTGACATTGCCATTAAATGTCTCCACAGGGTTCTCTGCAAACTCTCCTACATTACCCACAAGCCCCCTCCCCTCACACCTCCAATCACCCACTCCAGTCCCTCTGTATATCCTTGCCCACTCTGTACTCTCTCACCCTATGCTCAGAGTAGAACCCAGTCTGTCTCCAGGCTCCCCCAGGTCATCTAAATCCGGTAACACCTGGATGATATTTATTTCATTATAACTACAACAGGCACAGTTATATGACTGGGTAAGACCAATGGTGCATCTAGCCCGGTATTGTGTCTCTGACAGTGGCAGAAGTGGATGCTATAGAGGGACAGGATTGAACCTCATATTTCTAGTGCTCTATCCCCTATTTAATACCCTCCCTGGCATCTACCATTATAGGTCTAAAGGCACCAGAGGAAACATCTCTAACCCTTCTGTTCAATAGTCATTAATAGATCTATCATCCATGCATTTATCTAGTCCCTTTTTGAACCTGGCTGTGAGATCTGCCTCTACCACCTTGTGTGGCAATGAATTTCACAAGTTAATTATGCATTAGATAACAAAGAACTTCCTCTTGTTAGTTTTAAACCTGCCACCTACTAATTACAGTGGGCACCCCATGGTGCTAGTATTTTAGGACTTGGTGAACAACTGATCTCTGTCACCTGGTTCATACATACCCTTCAGTTCAGTTTCAGATCCCAGCAGTTCACATGCTAGCTCTGCCTACAGCTTTTAACGGCAATATATTTTTTCTTCACAGAGAGACTAAGTGACTTGCCTAATGTCATTTAGGAGCATCTGTGGCAGAGCACTGAGTTGAACCCAGGCCTCTCAGATTACAGGCTGTTTGGCACACTCTGGCTGCTCTTGGCAACTGGAAACCTGTGAATCGTCAGCGCACAATGGACACTGTGTTGCCCCAGACCCCTGAAAGATTCACATAAAAAACTTAAAAGCATATATATAAGTGCCTGTCATTAAATGATTGCCCGCATCAAATGACACCATTTCCTGTGGAGTCTCTATTTTGTGTTAAACTGTGCAATTTATTCATAATTTTTTACAAGGAAAATCTAAGGCAAAAGCTGCATTTCAATTGAGGGGCTGTTCTAATAACTCTACAGAAAAAATGTTTGAAATTGTGTTTTTGTCACACACAGGCCTTATTTGCAAGTGGAGTTTTGGTGAGGAAAGGAGGGGAAAATATTAGCCACTTGTCAAACTTTTTCCTGCACTTTTTTCAATATTAATTTCGCTGCTTTTTCTAAACATTTTTTCCTTTTAGTTCTTCCCCCCTGTAATGTTTGAAAATTGATTTGTTTCCTTCTTAAAAAATAATAATAAAAAAAAATCAATGGCTAAAGTTCAAGAGAAAAGCAGAAAAGGAAATAGAAAAGTTAAAAAAGTCAAGATTTTGAAGCATGATGTGGCCTTTATTTTTTAATGTTGCTTACCAGGTAGAGAAGGAGCTGTGGGCTAAAACACCAAGTGGGGAGACATGCCTTTCTGTGCTGAGAAGGCTTCTTGGTGACCATGGGCAAGTTACTTAAAAGGTTAAGAGGGTACAAATCAACCCCTCAGATATGAGTTCAGATCCAAGTTCATGGTTCCAGTTTTTCTGGAAAAGGGTGAATTCCAACACATGGCATTTTGGGGGTAGACAAGCAGATTTTAAGTGCTTAAATTTGAAGCCAACATTCATGTCATGCCCGCCAGTGCCTAAGTGCTTAGGAGTTGCAAGTCAAACCCCTCATCTTGAGAATGCTGCAAAAACCATGTGCATGTGTAAGTGTGCACGTGTGTTAATTAAAATACTTTGTATTTGCCTCTGGGTTTTGAACTTTTTAAAACTCACATTTTCAAGAGTCTCTGCAACTAACAGGTCCAGAAGCTTACTTTAATAAAAATGACGAAAGCCAAGCTTCTTGTGTAATCACAGGAGAGCAGGAGCTGAGCCTTCAAGACAAACACGGATTATCATGAGACTCGTGATAACATTGTAGGGGCTGACGGCACTGCCATCATCACGTAGCTTGTGTGGCCTTCAAGGACTTTGTTAGCCCTTTAAAGAGATACAGCACTCAAAACCGGTGCCTTAGCTAGAAGCTCTCTGCCTTATCTTGTGCACACACTTTTTTCTAATCCAGAAGAGAAAGAATGTTTATGCCATTTTAAGGTGAAACCAAGAAACTGCTTTTGATTGCAAGAATCTCACTAGTCAAAAGTAGTCCAGCGTCTAGAATAGGTCGTTGTGGAGCTAGTACAGGTGTGGGCAAAATGGTGGATCTGGCCCACAGCCAGACTCCATTTCCCACCAGCCCCTGTCCACGTGGCTCCCAGCTGGTCTCCAGAGACCCTGGGATCATGGGACTGTGACAGTGCAGGGCCACAGAAGCGGGGCTCCAGTCCTGGCCCTGGCACCAGCCCCATGATCCTGGGGTCTCCATGGAGACTGGCTGGGAGCCACACAGGCAGGGTGAGCAGCTGCTCTTGGGCAGAGGCCGGGATCTTGGAGCAGTGACAGCATGGAGCCAGGGCCGGGGCCGAGCTGCGATCTGCTCCCTGCACACCCTGCCCATGGACCCCATGCTCGTTGCAGGGGCGCAGGGGCAGCGGATTGCAGCTCTGCCCTGGCCCTGGCCCTGGCCTCTGCCCAAGATCCCAGGCTCTCCCCAGCCCTGCCCACCAGTCTCACTCCCAGCCAGAGCCCCGTCCCAGTCGCTCAGCTGTACACCCTGCCTGTGTGGGTCCTGCCACTGGTGGTAGGTGGGGAGCGGATGGGCTGGGGTGCTCCAGCAGTGGAGTTGGGTCCAGCAGCAGCAGCCAGGAGTGGTCGCCACAGGGGCTGCTAGGAAACAGTCCACCATGGGCCAGATTTTGCCCACCCCTTAGCCAGTACTTAGTATCTCTTTCCACAAGTGTACAAGGCCTTGCTCGGTTGCCTCAGTAGAAGGGCAGGGCAGCAGACTTCCATACCAACACTTCGTGGAGTAGCTCCATAACGAGTGTCTATTGACACTAGATTGTACCCTAAAAGCCTCAATAAACTAACTTTCCCCCTCAATCAAATGGCCTAGTACAGAGCCAGCATATGCAGTCTTTCAGGACTGGCTGAGTGTAGAAGGCTGCAGATGTTTTTGGATGGTCAGACCCCAGATTGTCTATTCTGCTGGGAGTAACACCAGCTATACACAAAACTGACACCCATAAGCAATCCTGTGGAGCTCCTAGAGCATGTTTCACTTTCCTTGTGGAGGGAGGGAAAAAGTCTTGTTATGTCATAGGTGGACAGACCTCTTCTTCCTACCCACAGAGATGTTTCACATGTACCTGCTAGCCTAGTATGTACAACTCAAGCCTTCAAAAATGCAAACAGGTGACATTCACACTGGCTGTTGCTTGAATCCAGGCACTGCCACAAATGGCTTCTTATCTCACGCAGCATAATCTCAGCTGGACAAAGATACGTATTGTTTTGACTATGATTACACAAATCAGGTCTCGGCAGCAAATTCCCTAGATATAGAAAAAGGACAGTCTGGAAAACCTACTGGAAGCAGAGATGATTAAAAACAAACCAAAGCAAACTTGCTTTCATGATGCTAGGTGTTTTACTAGAAAAACTAGTTTGGAACCTCTTGGTCACCTTTCTGGACACTGTAAGGAGATAGGAGGGTTCAGCTTTGCAGATGATTCGCTTTTTGATTGTATCCTTTTCTCTCCACTATATAGTTTTGCACAAAGCTCTCCCCCCGGGAGGGGGGAGAGAGAGAGAGAGAGGAGTCTGAGAGATGTACTGCTAGTGCTACAACCATAGCAGCTTTTCCTTGCGAGAAGAGCCTTTTTCTCACTTTGTTCTAGTTAGTTGGAGGCCTTTTTTTGTGCCTCACAGTTTTCTAATCACCTGCTGGTTTTATAGGAGAAGAATGATGCCAGCTTCAGTTTTTGCGTCGCCTGGGTTCCCCACTGTACCAGCAGTAGCTCTGTTTTCTAATGTACAAGCATTGCTGTGGTGAGCAGGCAGCAGCGGTGGTCTGCAGCACTGCTTCTATCAGGAGAGCGAAGCACGCTTACTTGAAACTAGAGCGCAACTTCCTTGTGTTCCTGCCTGAGCTCACTTGTCTGCCTCTACCTGTTTGGGTTGCTGCAAAGAAACTGGAGCTTATCAAGCTTCCTTCTTTGTCAGGTGTTTCTTTGATGTAAATTCAGCCATGATCAAATGTGCTGATGGCAGCAAATGGCAGAGGGGCAGCACACACGCAACCTAGGGAGTGACTTGTGGAGATCAGAGCAAGGGGGGTGAGGGGGGGGGTTGGGGGAGGGCTGAAGATAAATAGGAAAGATGAAGCGCAAACAAATGTCAAGTCTTGTACCCAGGGAGAGGAAATAAACAGCCCAGATAGAAAAAGGGGAGACATAGCAGGTTTACCCACTGCAGTAAATCTAGTTTAGCACATTCCCAGCATCAGATGGAATTTATGACTAGGTTGTTGCATGCGTCGGAGGAAGATCTTTAAGTGCACCAATACAATCCTTTTTCTCCACATTCAAACTCCTGTCACAGGCAGAACGGGTCCTTTTCTAACTGGGGGAGAACTGCTCGCAGCAGTGACTGCTGTTACTGCAATTATTCTGCTTTGATTCGGCCCCTGCAAATTCTGCCCTCAAATACACAGCAGCAAACTCAGTAAAATCCTTAGGGGTTTCACAGCTGGAACCAAGGGTACTGTTACTGTTTGTATTACATTAATGCAAAGAGGCTTCACTCAGAGTCCTAACGTCCTGCACAAATACATATCAGAAGATTGTCCCTGCCCAGAAGCATAGCAAGTACATAGGAGCCATCTTTAAAACATAGCTGAGAGTAAATCTACCTCTTGAAGGAGGACATCTGGTGTGGCTGTAGATTAATCCACTTGCTACGTCTTCCAGCATCCCTTTTGTTTCTGTAGGCTGTTCCTACCAGCAATTGTACCTCCCCTTCACGTAGGTTCCTAACCTCCCCAAATGTAAGCACTGGTTTGGGGCCCACTTAACAACAGCAGAACAGATGGTAGAAGAAAATTCCTGCGCCAACACACTGAAGAAGAAATACAGCACTGAGGCAAGCATCTTCTTCAGTAACTCACCTTTCTGCTGCTAAGCAGCAGGTTTTCTGTCAAGCAGAGAACACGCCTACATTTCAAGTCTCTGCCCATTACTGGTATATTCACTGACAAGCGACTTTTCCACCAGTTTTGTCTGTTGAGAAGTATGCAAAACCCCTTTCTACAGTCCCCCGGAAAAATCTGTTTCCCTCTACCACGATTCCTTTCACCATCATATGTCAACCAACAAGGAGGTCCAGTTCACACTTGTGAAGCTAGAACCACATTTCCGGCCCTGTCAATATAGCGGATGTGGATTGGAGTGGTGTTTGTTAATGAGATTTTGACCAGGATATTTCTTATCCTCCAATCTGGCATGAAGTGCTGACATCAATTAAGAGTTTGGAGGTGGCGAATACCAGCAGTTCCCATAGACTTCCACGGAGGGAAAGGCACCCAACACACTTCTAAAAAACCAGGTCTCACTGCTGCAACTACAATGCTAGCGGAAAGGATGTTTAGCCTTTATCTTCTTAGATTTATGGTGCTACTGTTATTTAAAATATTTGAAACCACAAGCACAGCAGAGCAAACTGTACAATTAAACTCGGACAAGTGCAATGTAAATTTCACTCAGTTTCACTGTCATAAATTCAGTGGGCCCAGCTCTCACAGATTCACACAAATTTAGGGCTGGAAGGGACCTTGTGAGATCATCGGGTCCAGCCTCCTGCGGCAGGAAAGACTGCTGGGGTCAAATAACCCAGAGGATGTGGCTCAGCACAGAAGTCAAATGGACCTACAAGCATTTCTACCGGCCAGTTTTAACTCAAGTTGACTCATTCTTTAAAGCTGTTAAACTCACAGGTTTCAACAGAGCAAAATTTAGGCCTTCTAAACTGGAAAATTGAGATCTCATTTCCATAACTAACTCCCTTCTCAGGGAGGGTGACCTTAACAAGCACAGGGAATTCAGTGTGGAGACTGCAAAGCTTCAGCACTTTCTGAGAAATACTAGAAGCAGAGCTCTCCTCTGCCCCAAGTGACAGCAGAGTCCTCCACTGTACCGTACACCAGAAACACAAGAGGCTTGTGCCAGCCCGATGGTCCTGCAAGCTGGCAAGGAGGACAGGGCTGTATTCCCTACCTCTTTGTCCTGGGCTGGGGAAGAATTGGCTCACAAAGTCTCCTGTATGAAAGAGCAGCCAGCCTAAATGCATGAACTCACACTGCCAGTCTGCTAAGGAGCGGCATTGATTTGGAGCCTAGAAGGACAGCTGTTTGTTCCTCCCTTTCCACCCATTTCCCTCTGCCCCAGCCAAAGGAGGAGGAAGGTTGCCAGAGTGGACTCCAGATGGGTGGGCAAGGAGAAAACCCAGTGAAAAGGAGGGAAAAGTTGGATACCGAAGTACACAAAGCAGCTGGGTAGCTGCTCACTTTGCCATTGTCAGAGCGAGGCTGAGCTGTCAAAATGAAAGCTCAGTAACCTGCAATATTCCTGACAGCTGCAGGATTCCACTGTCAGTTAAATCATGGCTGGGTGTAGATTTTTAACTTGCTTCAGCATTAGCTAAGCAACAAGATCATTTGCTGCTCCTAACTAGGACTCACAGTCAGTGCCCCAACTGAAATAATGCAGTCCCACCAACTATTTGGAGAGGGAATTGTCTTGTGCAAACAGGTTCCAAATAACATCTATCCTCTGCATGGGGACAAAGCATTTCAAATAAGATTCATTTTTGGGTCAGTTTAAAGAACAGGAATGCATGTCTGTTTCCAATCTGGTTTCAAACCTGCCACATTTGTGTGTTTGCACTAAGACTTCATGTAGCTCAAGAGCCAAAATGTGTTCAGTAATTGCCTTATAAACACCAAATCAACCTGGACTTTTCTGAATGGCCCCATTAAACAATTCCCTAGTTCCCCTCCTCTAGACTCCTGTCAACCACTGTTCTCATAGGCCAGAGGTAAGGATGCGAGGAGGGGGAGGGAGACAGCTCTCAATACTTAAAGTCATACTGACTTTTTTTCTTTTTCTTAAATGAAACAGTAGTTTTTGGAGACTCTTTGGGTTGGCCTCCTGCTGCTACAACAGCAGAGTCCAGTTTGTGTGTGTCCGAGTCTGTACACCACTACCAGAATTTATCATTTTTTCAAGAGATAATTCTCTCCCCTTACTCACTCCCCTTTAGGCCCCTCTTTCTAATCTGGAGCTATGTGCTATTAGGTAATCACCATTGTGGAAAGCTTCTGCAGTCTGATGATCTTTACCACTTTACACACCCTAATCACACAGACATATTAGAAGCCATACAGCAGCACACAGGTCAAGCAACTCCCCTGCAACTCAGTTATAATGCATCACCCCTTGCCATCAGCTCCATAGAACCAGGCTGCCATTGAGACTGCCACCTGTGGGCAGCTAAGCAGAGAAGTCAACTACAAAAAGGGGCTTTATGACAACCCTACCAGCATTGTCTCCCACAGCTAGAAACCAGGACTATGGTAAGACCAAAAGATCCACGGCTGTGGCTTTCCTTGGTACTGCACTGGGGATTGTAAATAGCTCATGATCGTTAAGTGGAGGGTGGGAGGGGGGGAAATGGTTCCCAAGAACAGGCAGGACTAAAGTAGATGAGCAAAGAAGTCTTTAGCTTATGCGTGGCTCCTCTCCTCCTAGACTAGAAGACTGGTAGAACCAGAAGAACCGGTAGAGTAGAAGAACATACATCAACTCGGTCCTTCTCCAGGTAACTAGGGCTGTATGTAAAGAAATAGGGGTGGATGAATATCAAAAGAATCTAACGCTCATTTTGGATTTGTTTCACTTGGGTTTGTGCCATGGTAAGTTTTAGGGGGACTACTGAACAACATCTGAGTGTCTAAAATACCATTACACTTTGCTTTCCTATAGGACTTCCTATATATTTCCCTTCCTACTACACATCAACTTGAACAGCTAGAGGTCAACTAAAGAGATCAAAGCCTGTCCCCTTGACCATCCTTCTTGCCAGTCATAGTACACTTTTTCACAGTTAGTCTGGAGACTGTACGGCTCAAGCAGGACCCTGCACTTCCTGCCAATTATAAGATTAAAAGTTGGCTTGAAAACCACACCTGGCCTTGGTAGTAAAATCTGTTGTGGCTTTTGCTGTGTGAGGGAAATAAACATCAAGTGTGTTAGCACTTGGAGGTTTCAAAGTGATTTGTGTACATTTTAATAGAAAAGTTGAGGCAAAGGCACAGACACCATCCTCCACACCAGCATGTCTGCTAAACTCTTTCTCCCCTTTGGCTTAGAAATTTAAATCACTGTTGATAATCAAGACAAGACTCATCCTATTATATAGCCATGCTAGGAAACCTATTTGCAACATGTGTGGCTTTCAACTGTGTTATAAACAATTTAGTTTTGCATGCTAGGACCAGACAACCCTGTGACTAGCCATAGCACTGTTCCCTTAGTGTGGTTATAACCTGGTCCTCAATAGGCAAAACCAAATCATGTTACAGTATGGCTGGAACACATCTGTAGCACAAGAGTGCCTTTGCCTGCTTCTAACAGTCACTTGTACTCAGTAACCTGAGGTGTTTAAAAGGCAGATGGGAGAGTGGGGGCATGCCAGCGCTCCCCGACGCACAAACTGTGCAAGTTAACGGCAGAATCAAAATGTCAGTTTTTGCTGTGCCAAATGATCCTGTGGATTCAAGTGAATCCTAACATATCACATGCCTAACACACAAAAACTGTCAGAAGAACATTATTAAGGATGCTATATTAAATACTCAAAGAAGTTAGGGAATGCCAGAATCTAGATGGGTTGTGGAATCTTACCATATCTCCTCACATAGCCCATGTCCCAAACAAGACATGCATTTTGTTCTGGGAAGGCAATGAAGAAAAAAACAAAGATTTTTTTTTCCCAGTCATAGGTGAATAAGGCTGCATGGAATAGGGTCAGAATCTATTCTTCAGCATCACTCTCTCTCTCTGCAAACTCTTTGGGCTCCTATAGGTGTTTCCAACATTCTGGAAATCCAGCATGGAGCAGACTTGATTAATTGAGTCTGCTGGAGCACAGAAATTGATGCGCTCTTGCAGCCTTCTCATGTCATGTGCATCAGTGTCCCTGTGTGTCCCCGTGCTGAAAAAGGGTAGTAGGGCGCTTTGAAATAAAACATATTCAATGACCTTTTGTTCAAAGTACCCCACTGCCATTTTTTCAGCATCGGGATGTGTGGGGACACTGATACACATGCACATGGGTGCTTTTAATTAGCACGGCTCACTAATTAAAGTGCCCGGCGCTGTGTCCCAGAGCACGTGTTAAAATGCTCTGACTTAAGCTTTATCCCCCATCATAGCTGCTGCTGAATTGGCAGCAGCGCTTGCCTACTCTGACCATCCTGCTTACAGCCAGCAAGCAGCCATCCCCTGGCAGCAATTCCAGCATCCCCATATCAGCATAGAAATCAAACTCTTCGCTTTAAACATACACCCCAATTTTGAATGGCTGATTTTTGGGAAAAGGGTGTGTGTGATAGGCAAGTAAATGTTAATTTGCCCTCCTTGCATGTAAGTTATAACGCAGTCTTTAATTACACAAGCAGTTGCCCCCCGTCCATCCAGACTTCTGCTTCTTTAAGTGAATGAAAAAGCAAGTTTTTTTCTTCCCATCCCTTATATTCAACATGTATATTTTACTTAATGAATGCCACCTACAGTCAACACTGGATCACTAGCTTCCTTCTGTATATGTTTTTGGCCATCTCTTCACAGGATACACTAAGAACCTCCCAGCTGCTATTAGCCTGCTAGTAAGGTGAGGGATGTGAGAACAGAACAGAAATGATCTCACCACTGCTGCAAGGAAGGTTTAAAATGGAGGGATGATAATTTCAATTGAGGCATGAGATTAAAAATTAAATTATCCACTAATTGTGGATGCTTAATACAGGCAACCCAGGAATTCATATTGTACATGTTACAAAGCACAGATCCAAATGACCTCAAGCATTTTATGTTGGGCACCCAGAATACAACTTAGTGGCCACCTGAGAAAGGCATTCCCTTAAATCAAGCCTAAGATTTTGGTTAAGCAAATTGCTTAGCAGAGAAAGGGATAAACCCAATTTTCCAGGTCAGCATTCAACCATCTCAAGAAGGAGACCATCCTTTCTTATCCTGTCACTCCCTGCCTACATTTGCAATGAGTGACACTGAGGTTCTGTCAACAGGCACCTCCTTCCCTTTACAATGCCAGTTCATCCCATAGCAGTCCTGCTGTGCACTGATCAGGGCAAGGTTTCACACATCTAAATACACCGGCCAGCTGAACTCTTGCAGATCAGAACCTGAGTGCTTAGCTGTACAAACTTGACATTCTTTCAGGCCCCCGGCACATGTTGCATTTCTATGCAATTGTGTGAATTGGGTCATAAATAGCAATATGCCACATGGTCCATCAAATTTATGGCCCTATAAAATGACAAACCAGCCACAAAGATATTCCTTCCAAAATGTGTAACATCTTTGTGGCTGGTTTGTCTGGAGCTATACAGTGAAAGTGTGTCCACCTCAGGACCTGAGTAGCCCTGGGTCTGCAGCCTGGCTGGAGGCTGCCTCAGCCCTGATGCTACAGGATTTAGGCTTGCTGGGACCTGGCACACTGAAGAGCCATGCCCTGCAGCAGTCACTCTTTAAGACGCTGGGTCCCAGGGAGCCTTAGGGTATGGGGCAGCTCTGGTTTAAAAAATATCTTAAGAGTCACATCACCCAGCTTAGATCTATGAAATACTGTAATCTGCTTCCTCCACTCCCACTACTAAAAAGATCCCCACATCAGAGATCCATCAAACTGTTGGGTTTCACCATAAGCACAGCTGTAAATGAGCACAGACAGGCTGAGTAAGAAGGGGTATCTTATTCTTTGAACAGGCTCACTTTCAACTAATGGTTGTAAAAGAAAACTCCCATGTTTTGTTAAATTGACAAAAAGCCCTAAAGGGAGAGTGTTAATTAAAGTGATGCCTCATTGCTAGGTGAATAAAGCAGTCATGTAACAGGTATGAGATGAGTAATCTCAGTTTAAGACTATTCGTTTTGTATAGAAAATGCAGCCTTTCAGCAGATGTGTTCAAATGAAACCTTTTTACAACCAGTGCCACCTACACCTGTGCTCCCAGCTGTAGAGTTTGACCAGTGACAGAAGAAGTTTGACATTTTGGGGGCCAGGCCTTATGGTTAATATGCAGAAAGCTATGCAAAAGACCATTGCTTGTTTAATTGCGACTGAACAGAGGAATAGAAAAGAGGGCTCATTTTGTTCAACAAAAAAAACAAACCAACAGAATTTTGGCATGTTTAACAGAAATTCTAAATGAAAACCTCATGTTCTCAAAAGGTTTTAGAAATCATTTAAGATGAGCAGAAAGTAGAACAGTTAAGACATGTATATTAACCCCCACCCTGACCTTAGCACTGGACATTATTACCAGTGTAAATCCACCTCTATTCACTCAACTGAAGTATCATGAAGCAGCTCAGCTCACTCTAATGTAATGACACTGCAGACAAAAGGCAAGAAGCGTTTTCATAGAAGAATTGTAACTTCTCTTTCCTTGAGGAACTGCAACAGAATTCAAGTCCTATAAAAGATTACCCGACTGCATAAAAAAAAGAGGCTTTCCTTCAATGATTAATGAAGCTAGAGATCATAAAAGCACTGGTTTCTGTGGGACGCTCTGAGTGCATCCAGACGTGTGTGGACATTTGTTTCCTTGGGGACAAGTAGTGGTGGCACACCTCATACCACCGGTTCTTGTCCCTGAGGAATGCCTGTGCCACGTGCGCTTTGGTGCACAGCAAGTTACTCCAGGTAGGATAGGGGAGGCTGGGGCCAGCACTGGGCTGGCCCCAGCAGCCTTACCTGGGGTACTGGGGGTCTCCCAGGGCTGCAGCTGCAATGATTCTGCTACATGGCACCTGCCTGGCTGCGAAGTGCAGCTCTGGGCGAGCCGGATCCGCTTTTCAGCAGCGCACTCTGGCCAAGCGTGTGTTTCTTCAGGTTTTTTCCCCTGCATTTTTTTTTGATCCCTGTATATTCAGGGGTCAAAAAAACCCCTTGGCTCAGTGCATGCTCGGGCAGCACACCCTTGCAACACAAAGAACACTGGACTGTGTAGTATGTGCAGCATTTGCAGTGCAAACGTGTAGTGTAATATGTGCAAACTTTTGCCACACCACATACTACGTGACCATGGTCGTCTGGATGTGCCCCGAGTCCATGTCTATAAGGAGGCACTTGCATGTGTCACACTGCTCCCTGAATGCTATCCCCTGCAAACACACTGCAGTGTCTCTCAGATCCTACTTCCTCTAAATGTGAGTTAATTGGCACTCACTTAACACTGCTAACTAGCCTGCCTTTGGTGCAGGTTACACTGCTTTTAGCTGGGGGAGAAACCTGAACAGAGCAGAATACTTGAGGGAGCCATTGCTATTGGGAGCTGACTTATGATCCCAGGTTGGTGTTAGTGGACTAAGCTGTTAGAGGAGTGGGGGTGGGAGTGTCAGCTGCAAGTTGATCTTAAGTCTCCTCACAATTGCCTCTCGAGCCATTGCCAACCGTGCTAAGTTTGTTGCCTACACATGGCATTCAAGCTCTGTACATATCACAAAGTGGTAACAGTGAATGGAAGTTGCATATGAAAAAAACTGTGCTTTGCAGCTATCTCATCCCCTCACAGTAGTCTGCAACTTCAGAAACTGATTTTCAAAGAGGCAGAATTGGGCATACAGGGCCCCCATTTAAAAAAACTGAGCAACAAGACCAAATCTGACATGTAATGCAAAGGAAATCTACTGAAGTCTTCCCCTTGAGTGCAATGACTTCAGCTTAACAAATATGCCCTTAACCTTGCAATCATATTACTTGCAATAAGAGCATCTGAACCAGACTGATGGGATGAAGTATTAACTGCTACAGAAAAGCATCTGAAGGACTATACAGACATTGTATTGGTGAGTGCTAGTGTTGAGATCTCAAAGTCAGGTGCACCTCATCCCTATTCCAATGAGGCATCTAACAGTCTCAGGTGTGGTGCTGGAAAGGCAGCAGGTGGCACTGTTTCCTGCAAGCCAACACTACCGACTCAGAATGTTGCAGTGCATTAGGAAGACTACATTTTCTTCCAGATAAGATGAAGAAGAGTCCAGCTATTGCTGTGCTGTTCAAAATCCTGTGGCATGCTTCACAGTAGGCATCTTGAACTTTGTTTTATGGCTAAATTCCAGTTCTGACAATTATACTCAAATTAAGATGCCTCTTGCAGTTTCAGCTGGATTTGTACATGAGCACTTCAGTGACAATTAAAATGAAGCTGCCTGGAGGGAATGGGGCATATTTCATGCTCCACGCCCAAACGGGCCCCATCCTTCTGAAAGCAAAGGCAAGATTTCAATGAGCTAGAACACGCTGTATTTTTCAGTGGGCACAATGAGCAAAACACCTTTTCAGTGCAGATGAAAGCTGCAGCATAAGCACCAGGCAAACATTTGAGAAAAAAAACTATAGACAATAGAAAGGCCAGCTGTAGGGGAGCCTCTCCATCCATCCCACTAGCCAGAGGCAAGTTAATTGCAAAGAAAGAAGAGGGAACAAGTATGGAGGGGAAAGGCAACGCGTTGCTTCTCAAAGCAAAACCAGCATATGCAGCTCAGCTACTGGCTACTCACAGGGCTGAATTTAGATGGGAGGTTTTACAGATTTCAGAAGAGCAAAATTTTGTGCAAAAGCCAACTAGCTCGCAGGCTTCACATGAAGTTTCAGGATTAAAGCATCAGTCACAATAGACTCCCACTGCCTGTGCTCTCCCCCCTCCTACTTATGCTGAGGCCACCAGTACTGTACTCAGACTTGGAAGACAAATGGGCAGCTGCCACGAGAGGCAATTGTGAGGAGACTTAAGATCAACTTGCAGCTGGCACTCCCACCCCCACTCCTCTAACAGCTTAGTC